ATATATGCACAGTCATATTTTCACGCACAACATCCCGCGATGGCTCTTTATAGACTTTACATTATATTAACTTTAAAAATTGATTACAGAGCCTGAGATTATTCTCAATTATTCACTGAAAAATATTGTCTATAGCGAAAAACCAACAACCAAGGAGAATATGAAGGAACGTATTCGGACTGCTTGTGCCGCAATATCTCAAGAAATTCTTTCGAGAAAAGTCACATCATTCAGAAGACGTATCGACCTATGCATTCAAGAAAATGGACGGAATTTCGAACAGTTAATTCGCTAAGTGTACTACTTAGCGAATTAACTGTTTGAAGTTACAAATTAACTAAATAAAGCACCCCAATAGTGAGAGGCAAGGGGACTCACGTAAATAAAGCACCCCGATAGTGAGAGGCAAGGGGACTCACGTAAATAAAGCACCCCGATAGTGAGAGGCAAGGGGACTCACGTAAATAAAGCACTCCGATAGTGAGAGGCAAGGGGACTCACGTAAATAAAGCACTCCGATAGTGAGAGGCAAGGGGACTCATGTAAATAAAGCACCCCAAAGGGAACAAAAAACTACCACGTCCACGCCGTTGTTCCTGGGTAGTGCTAAGAGTAGTAACTTCTATTAATTTTGGCTAAAAATTTCGTCCGCCATCTTGGTCCGCCATCTTGGATCCGCCATTTTGAATTTTGCAAATCTGACTTCAGATTCGTGATCAAAAACCCTCGTAAACTTAATTTGGTGCAAATCGGTTGACTAAAATTTTTGTCCGCCAATTTCGTTCGCCATCTTGAAAATTTTAAAACAGCCAAGGTTATATCTGAACGTAAAATTTTCCGCTTTGTCATTTTCCGGTGTCAAAAAGGGGAGTTTCCATTTTAAAAAAACCACTTCCGGTTGAAGTAACCCACTTTCGGTCAAAATCAAAAGTTGCAAGGTACGCCATTTTGGTTCCCCCTCAAAACCCTACAACTTTTATATGAAACTTTTTTCGATTCCTGGCCACACAAACGAGTTATTAGAGGTGATAGATTCAGATGACTCACCCTGTATATACTAGTATACACGTATTTACAAGTAAATTTTTACAAGTGAGGTTTTTGAATTGAGATTTCAATTCTTAAAATCATATAGGATTTTTTTCTTTGAAATCTCTTTCAATTCTTAAAATCCTATATGATTTTAAGAATTGAAATCTCAGTTCAAAAAACTCACTCGTAAATGTTTATTTGTAAATACGTATATATATATTCATACATATATATATACTACCATGATCAAAAACTAACCGGAATTTTTAATTTAAACTTCGCGGGCTTATTGGTTTAGAATTCTGTTGTTTGTGTCACGTTGGCAGCACTGTTACGGACACCCATGCCAAGCTTCTGCTTATCAGCTGTTCATTTACTTTTATGACAGTGATGTCTTTACATCAAGTTTTTACGTCGCGGCAATTTTTACAATGGATCCAAAACTTGAACAACGTTCTTGCATTAAATTTTGCTATAAAAATGAAATTAAGTGTTTCGACACATTAAAAATGTTACAAAAGTGTTATGGTGACGATACTTTATCGAAAACACAGATGTACCAGTGGTATGAACGCTTCAAAAGTGGTCGTGAGGCTGTTGAGGACGATGCTCGTCCTGGGAGGCCATCGACATCAAAAACTGATGAAAACGTCGATGAAATCTTAAATATTACCTTAATAAATAATTAATTTACCTTATTAAATATTACCTAGGAGTTATGAAACGGTTACGCAAAGCTATCCGCAAAAAAAGACCTGCTTTGTGGGGCAACAACTCGTGGATTCTCTATGACGATAATGCGCCATCTCATAATGCGTTGATTATTCGTGAGTTTCTCGTCAAAAACAACACCAATACCATTCAACAACCGCCCAATTCACTTGATCTGGCACCATGTGACTTTTTCCTATTTGATCGACTCAAAAAACCACTACGAGGAACTCGTTTTGAGAGTGTGGAGGCAATAAAGCTAAAATCGCTGGAGGCACTAATGGCTATACCAAAAACCGACTTCCAGAAAAGCTTCGAGGGGTGGATCAAACGCTGGCACAAGAACATCGCAGCCGACGGGGACTACTTTGAAGGGGACAACTTGAATTTTGAAGAATAAACATGTACTTTTCTTTTTATAAATAAATTCCGGTTATTTTTTGATCATGGTAGTATATATATATACTATATATATATATACACATGCATATATCCGCACGAACATCCTGCGATCGGCTCTTATAACCCTATATATATTCGTTTGAAATTTTTAAGGAGCCTAGAGAATCTTTAATTGTTGAAAATATATAGAAAGTTTATAGTTATTTTGTGCTAAGTTACAAACCAGTTTATTAAAAAAAGTTATATCGGAGGTGTTGCCGGTCCCGATAGACAATCTCGCAGCCACCACGGTCGGAGGTATTCCCTAATTTCAAGTATACAGTTTGTAGGTATTTTGTGCCAAAATGTAAACCAGTTTAAAAAAAAAAGTTATATTGGAGGTGTCGCCGGCGCGAAACAAATTTTTGTATCCGTTGTTTGAAGTCACTTTTTTATCATAAATGTATTATAAATTAAAAGTTTATAATTTGTAGTTATTTTGTGCCAAGATTCAAAACAATATATTAAAAAAAGTTATATCGGAGGTGTGGCAGGCACGAAATCACTACCCCGCGAGGAACATTGTTGAAGCGATTGGTATTATCGGAGATGTTACCGGCGCGAATAACGCGAAAGTCACTACCGTGCCTCTTGATTCCTCTCTCTCTCTCTCTCTCTCTCTCTCTCATATATTACAATTCTTTTTCTTTTCTTTCGTTTAACGCGCTGATACCGCCAACTTTTAGAGACAGTAAAAAGTGTTGATTAAATATCTCCTCTCTACTGAAATGCCTAATTTTCGCGTATAATAGACACGGTGTGCTCGCACAGTTTGAGCGCCACTTTGTTGCGCGTGCCTCTTGATTAGTACAGTAATATTTGTATTATATTATAGTGTAATATTGCAATAGAAAAATAATATTACTATGATATTGCAGTAATATTACGTGCTATGTGAGATATGTATTGCATCTTCATTACCACGAAATATTTACAGAATACATCCATTAGACTTCCTATGAACATTTAAAAAGTGAACTCTAGATATCTAATGGATATCTACTAGAGGTAACGTGAACGTCCATTAGATGTTTTCAATTTCCATCATGGATGTCTAATAGATGTTTACTGGAATGTTTTGTTCTGTATAGGAATATTGATCAAATACATAAGGAATATTTATCAAATACATATTTATCAAATACATATTTAATATGTATTTGATAAATAAATGATGCTACGGGTTATTATGTTCCTTGATTTTGATATTGAGCTGTCTGTTTGTTTGGCCAATATAAACGACATCACAATGAGAACATAAGATATTATAAATTACGTTTTTTGTTTATAGAGCGGAGATCATTATGTGTGTGTGTTTTTTTTATATCTCTTTAGTTGATATAAATTAATTATTAATTATTAAACTTAATATTAATTATTAACTCAATAATTATTGGGAAGTTTGCAATATGAGTTTTTATTTCAGATTGACTCAATCTATCTTCACAGTCCGGCTTGTCACTCTACACATACACATACAATCACACACACACACACACAAATAAGAAATAATAAAAAGTCAGTTTATAGTTAGAACATTGTTGTATTTGTTATATTATAATATAGTTATATTTTTGATTTTTTTTTTAGATATATATTGATTTCACGGTCAGACATATATAATCAAATATACACTAGTGGTGGCATAAAACTGATGTTAATAGCTATATGGACTGGAAGTTTTTTGATGCTATTACCACCTTTGTTGGGAATTTGGGGCACCTTAGGATTGGATCCAGCCACTTTTTCGTGTACCATATTGAAGAAAAATGGTTCCAGCCCGAAGAAATTTCTATTTGTTGTAGGTTTTATCGTGCCTTGTGTAGTAATTAGTGTTTCATATATCTGTATATATTGGCGCGTCCGAAGAAGTCGAAAAAATCTAAAGTCACATGCGCCAGAAAGACAACAAAGCGGTGGCTTTCAACGAAGGGAAGATTTCAGAGTGACAAAACTAATGCTTATTATATTTTTGTGCTTTCTGATTTCTTTTATGCCATTGATGTTAATGAATGTGATTGATGACAAAATGAAGATTCCGATACTTCACGTAGTAGCATCCATACTTTCTTGGGCTTCTGCGGTGATAAACCCTTTTATTTATGCCGGCACCAATAAACTATACAGAGAAGCGTATAAACAGATTTTGTGTGCTACTTCAAACAAAACGATTATGATCGCTTCTAAACCGGTACATTCTCATTCGAGTAAAATTTCAACACCCAATACGATATAAGAATAAGTTTTATTTCGAGGTATTTTATTTGTCTTAAATGTGTAACTTGAATAAAACTAATAAAATACTGATATATAGTAAAAACATATTATCCTTTCTTTCTTTTATAACAAAGTAAATATTTTGTAAGTGGAATAGAATAAAATATTGCTATCTTTCCTAGGAGGAACAATTGTACATTTTTCACTATTACAATTATTTTTTACACCTACCTTATATTAACTTAAAATCTACCGCATCTAGATAACCAAATCTGTCGAAACAGATTTTGCCAAATGTTTGTTATAAGTTTTGTTAGCAGAAAGACATCAAATATGATGCAGAGTTTGTTTTATCAAGCAATGTTGCAAACTTGCTAGCAAAAATATATCCAAGCTTGTTGACACAACATAACAGCAAATTACTGGCAAAAACCGTGCAAAGCTTGCACATAATTTGAGACCAAATTGACGCCAAATATGAAGCAAGATCTGCGCAACACGACTTGATAGCAAAATTATAGAAAAACCGGGCAAGACTTGCAGTTCAGTCAAACTATAGTATTTAAAGGGCCATAATTATATCTTGACTTATTTCTAAATTATTTATGTACACACTATTTATAATTCATAATATACATAAAATTACTTTTACATTTGAGTATTTAATCTATTTCCAATAATTAAATATTAAAATGACATAATAAAATATTTTTTTAACAAACTAAGTATTAGAAAGCCTATACGAGTGATGCTAGTTGTACGCGCATTTTACCATATATGTATGTATAAATTTATAAAGAATTATTGACATATATCCTAAACTTATTTCTACAAATTATATACATATATACAAATATATAATCTTTATACATAATATATATAAACTTATGTATAAATTTGAATATTAAATCTATAATAATTATCCTAGATAACCAAATCTGTTGAAACAGATTTTGCCAAATGCTTGTCGCAAATTTTGTTAGCAGAAAGACATCAAATATACTGCAGAGCTTGTTATATCTGCCGATGTCGCAAAATTGCTAACAGAAATATATCCAAGCTTGTTGACAAAAAATAATAGCAAATTGCTGACAAAAATCGGGCAAAGCTTGATAACATAACCCGAGACCACATTGACGCCAAATATAAAGCAAGATCTGTGCGACACATTCTGACAGCAAATTGAGAGCAAAAACCAAGTAAGACTTGCAGTTTGGCTAGATTTTTAAAGAATTATTGACATATATCCTAAATTTATTTTTACAAATTATATATACATATATACATAATCTTTATACATACTATACATAAAATGTTTAAATTTGAGTATTTAATCGACAATAATTATATAAATATTAAAATGATATCTATGTGAAATATTTTAGTATATTATACTTTTTACAAAAATTAATTGTCTGTATAATATTTAAGTTTTAATAATTTTTAAATTATTTTAAATAATTTTACAATATTTTTATATTAGTAAAAAAAATATAATTTACAATATTATGCACATACGATATTTATTGTTTATTTTAGTACATAATTGATTTTTTCTAAACAGATATAAGAAGCGCTTAAGTATTATGGCCAAATTGCACTCTGTTAGTAGAATCAATTAAAATTTCACTAATTGATTTAGTAATAAAAGGGTTTACTGGAATCAGTAATAATGTTACTGATTTGCAGTGAAAAACTGCCTTTTTTAGGTGTCAGTAATAGATTAGTTTTACTAGGAATCAGTTAAAATTCGCTGATTTACTTAGTAACAAATAGTTTTACTTAGAATCAGTAACAATGTCACTAAATGCCATTACATATTAGTTAATGACATTACTTTTAAAGTAATTGATTTTGAAAGTTTTAATGGCTCAATTAATAAAGTGCCCGCTTGGTAATCAGAGAGTTCCAAGTTTCAAGTTTCAGGTTTGAGTTCAGTCGAGATAATTTCTAACACAATGGGTTTTTCTACAAAGCAATATTAACAATAAGACAACGTAAAGAAAAATCAAGAAAACTTACTCGAGGACATAAATTATAAACCTAAATCATTTTTTTATATTATAAATGTCATTTTGCTATCAAATGTGTTGCGCATATCTTGCTTCATATTTGGTCAATTTGGTCTCAGATTATATTATGAAGCTTTGCTCGGTTTTTGCTAGCAATTTGCTGTTACTTTTTGGCGACAAGCTTTGGCAACAAAAGCCTAATGCGGACACAGTTAATGCCAATTTGCTAAATATTTTTGCTTCAAATTGCTGACAATTTGCTGGCAAACTGCGAACAAATTGTTTACTGGATATATGGTAATTACTTAAGTAATCGATAATTGTAGCGTCCGAATATAGTAATAGTTAAGGTAAGATCAGTAATATAATAAAGCTAAGAGAAACAACAATCAACAAAGCGTTTAGTCACCTAATCAGGAAACAGCAAAATTATTTATAAGTAATTGTTAAATTTCAGAATAAGTATTAATCAATGGGACCTAGTATTAGATCAGGATAAATTCGGAATTAAGAATTAGATGTTCTCTAAATTAACCAATCAGAAAGCGTAATCTTAATTGTTGATAGTAAACGTGTAAATGAGTTAAGGATAAAGATATAAATACAAATATGCCATTAAATATTACATGTACCTGTACATAAGCGAAAACCTTAACGCGCATGCGCTACCCCGCGAGCGACTGATGGGCGGAGTCATGCATGCGCCGAGTCTGTTTCGTCAAGCACATGGTGTAATAAAATAAGGTGTAACATTGCGCATAATGAGCGGGTCCCTGAGACAGCCAATCAAATTTGGGTCCAAGTACATCCGCGAAATTCAAATACATAAAGTAAGGGTAGGCTCATTTCTTTTTTTTCGTCTCTAAATTAATGTAATCAATAAGAAAAGTAACTATATACATAGTACTGTTGTGAAATTCAGAATGATTTCGGTCGGGCCATTAAGTAATTACGGAAGAACCGCGTCATTACTCAATCGACCCGAGTTTGCTAAAACAGTAACAAGCAGCATTCTCTTGTAAAGAAAATCTGCTTGTTTAGCGTAGTTGTTAAGTAGAATGCGTACGCGGCGTCGTCAGCAACCCACATGCAGTTACTAGGTTGCTGAGTTGTCGCGATCGATCCCTTTAAAAGATCGATCGCGAGTATCGGCGGACAGATCGTGAGTAGCTGTTGAATACTGTGTGGCTCCGAGTCCATCCGGAGAGTTTACCGCAGTAAAGCAACGGCTAAGAGTCAGAAGTAGCGTGCGACAAATGTACAAACAGTTGTAAAAGTGATATCTAATAAACTTTGTCAGTTTGTAAAAATCTCATTCTACAACCAAGTCCTACGACTCCCCGTGATCCCAACAAATTTTGGTGGCAGCGGTGGGATCGCAATAAACCAACTACCGAGACGGGATTCTACAGTACCTGGTACAAAGAAAATTCCGGTTGGATTGTGGAGACAACAAGGACATCAGGAGTTTTTCGGATAAGAAAAATCTACTACACTAAAACGTAGTTGTTTCGTGCTCGCACTGTCGGGCGCTTCGCTCCATACCCCGCAAGTCGAACACCTCCTGGCTTGCTCTGAGTTTTCTTTTACGCAACCAGTAACATATGCATATGCCCGCCAAGATTATTAAGACTATGCCTGTCGAAGTCGGGAAAATAAAACTTGGTTGTTTATAAAACGCGTTACTATCGTTATCACTCTTTCTAGCTATCCGCGTTACTTGTTTCTCTAGCGATTGCAACTGTGTTTTATTGCGTGTTACGCTTTCTAGCACCAAATTATTTTCTTCTATACGTACACTTTGTTTGGGTGCTGTAATATTAAAACGTGGTAAAAACGTACTTATTTTCATACCCTTAACCATCTGATTCGTACGCAACATTACATTCGCCGTGATTAACTTACACTGTTCCGGTAACTCTATCTTTCCAACTCCGGTTATGATTTCTATTCTTTCCGTTTCGTTTTCACATGTTACCCGCAGAGTTTCTTCCTTTAGAGTAGAAAACAACCACACGTGTGCTTTAGTTAACCTTACCCACACGGTTTGATTAGAAACGACGTGATCGACTACGTAATTTTCGTAATTTCCATTCTCGCTTAGAAACATTTGTGACTCGCAAGGCGCTCCCTGCGATAACCGATACACCGAATCTACGTTTTTGCAAACGTAGCGATCTTGCACATTCTTACAATTATTCCACTGTGTTTCTTCTACTATAGAGTATGTTTGTCGACTCGTGTCTATTGCCATCACCGGATGCTTGACTTGCATTGCCGCGAAAACATTGTCATGTTCGTGTACCGGCAAGGGTATCACTCTGTACACGCTGTAACTGTCGGAACTAATTAACGGAAACTTCACAACCGTGAATATATTTGAATCCTTGCAATAGACACTAATTGTAGCAAACTTTTTTATCTCCAACCAATTTTCCAGAGTTACGGCAAAAGAAAAACGTAGGTCCTGCACGAACTGATTATTTGCATCTTTTAGGCTCTGTATTTGTTCAAGCGGCACTATCTCCAATTTCGCAAATTCGGCGTGTACGTCCGTTACGTACTCAATTATGCCTTCGGCATCGAATTCTATCTCTGTCAGCAGATCGCCTAGCTCAATGAAATAATCTCTCAGCTCTTGCTGTTGAGCGTAATCATCAACTTTTTGAGTTATTTTTACCACTGCTTTTTACCACTGCTCGCAGCCTATTTTCATTCTTTTCGATAACACTTTCTATATTGTCCATATGGGCAATTGTGGCGTTAATTACTTGTAACTGAGCTCTTACGGTATGCTGAAGTATGGCCTGTTTATTACCTAATAGCCGAATTTGCTCCGTAATTACCTTTTCGTCTTCCGCGTCTATAGTGTCAAACAACACTTTGGCCACGAAACCGATCACGTTTACTAAGTCTCTTCGACTGCGCGTTGGTGTCCCTACTATCATTTTTATTCGTTTTACCAATGTACTGACCTTCTGTTCCCTGTGTCGCAACTCACTAGAAAAACTGCCACAAATTTCCTTATTTTCGTCGTGCACTGCCGTGTTACGGCACATGTCCTCGGTACTGTCTACCAATTTTTTCAATTGCTCCAACCTATCGTACATAGATGATACATCTAGCCTTATCGCTAATTTTCACTCTTTGTTAGCATGGTACATTACGCCTTGATTCTCGAAATATACCCCAGGGTTATGCTGGAACTTCCGGATCTTGAACTCCTGTTTTCCGGTCCCGTCCCACGCAACACACATGGTAATTTCTATTAGTAAAAACTTTACCCTGCAAGAAATATTTTAATATTACTTTTCGACCGCGCTTTTACGCTAAGTTTACACATATTACATTTTTTTTCCGTCGCGAAAGAGTATTAATCCGACTTTGAATTTACTCGATCCTATACTTAATTTCTGGTGTCAGATTTATGCTACACCGCGACTTCTCCTTCCCCTCCCTTCTTCGGAATAGAATATTACCGATCACTGTATCGGTTCCTCGTTAGTTTAAACCAGCGACAGATGCGTCAACAATTTTTAAGAGTCTTTCTTCGGTTCCCGCGATTCAAAGAGAACATGCCTTCCCGGTGTTCACGCTGTGACAGTACAGGCCAAACCCTCAGGCCCCTGTGCCTGGTGTACTG